TTCTAATTTTATGTAATCTGACTCCACTCTGCTGAGCCACTCTCCTCATCTGGCCTGTTTGCAGTTCTATTCTCAAACACTTCTCTTTCACGCAGCGATGGAGAGGGTGGATTTAGAAGCTCCTCTGTTACTATGGTGATGCAGAACTGTCATGTACACTACAGTGTGACTTAGAGCAGAGGTTCTCACAACAAATTTGTTGGTGGCCTCAGAGTGCGGCCATCAACTCTTGCTGGTGGCCACGCTGACAATTTTTTTCCTAAAATACTTAATTAATTTTAGGAAAAAACAAATAAATATGCATATATACACGTCCAAATCATTGTAAATTATTTATGTAAGGTTTTTTTCAGTAATAAAATAATGTACAATGGTCTGTATTCTTTACTGGACCTAAACAGAATAGAAACACAGATAAGGTGCTTTGCATGTTTTTGTCTTTTTGTTGTTGTTTCTTTTGCTTTTTTGGTTGCTTTTTAAAAAAAACTTGCTAGATAGTAAGTCTGCTACTTTGAAAAGTGATATTTGTATGTTTGTTAATATCACTTTTCACAGCAGATTTACTCAGCCTCGGCAAGCCTTGGGAGAAATTAAGGCCTGGATGGGGAGGTGGGCAGGGAGGCCACAGGGCCCAGGGACGTTGGTGTCGATGGTGAGCCTGGGATCAGAGCCTGGAACCAGAGCCTTCTACCGCATGTATGGAGCCTGAAACCCCACGGCCAAAGCCTGCCCCCCACGAAAGTGGGAAATTCACCAGCTGCCTGCACCTCCAGCTTTTGTGTTTCCAGAAGGGGACAGGGCCCAATCCCTGCTGGTGGCCCTGGGAGAGGGGCTATTGCTTCCCCCCTCCCAAATCACAGCCCAGGAGGCTGTGGCCACAAGAAAAGCCCCTGGTGGTCGCAGTTGAGAAACACTGACTTAGACTATGTTGACTTCTCTGGGTCTCCATGGTAACAGAGGAGTGTCCAAACACCCATTCTTCTAGAGCAGTGGTTCTCAAACCTTTTTTACTGGTGACCCCTTTCATATAGCAAGCCTCTGAGTGTGACCCCCCCTTATAAATATATAAAAAAGTGTTTTTAATTTAACACCATTATAAATGCTGGAGGCAAAGCGGGGTTTGGGGTGGAGGTTGACAGCACGCAACCCTCCATGTAATAAGCTCACAACCCCCTGAGGGGTCCCGACCCCCCGTTTGAGAATCCCCGTTCTAGAGGCTTACTTAGGGAAATCTTGGAGTTAATAGTGAATTCTCATTTCAGCCAACTACTGTTGACCTGTTTAAGCAGCCATTGTGCATGGAAAGTTGACATGTGATGGATAGGGAAGAGATATCTTTATTCACTAAAAATGCATGCAGAGGACTTCTACGGTGGCATCAGCCAGTCACTATAAACTGAGCTGATTAAGCACCTTAGGGCAGAGGCACTAGACACAAGAATACATACGTTCTGGCCATTTTTCTGGTGTGACACTGAACTGGAACTGGGCCAGCATGTCATGGCGTAAGGTTTTTTTGAAATATTTCCTTTTATGTCTACTGCCGTTCTGTCTGCTAAGTCAAATCAGTCGGTTTAGGAAGGAAAAAGCTGTCAGTTATGATCTATGATTGTTTTTTCCTCTGAAGCTGAAACTGAACACATCAGTGTGCTGTTATCAGGAGATCTCTTTCTGATGGCAGGAGTCAGTGTGAGGGCAGCAACTGAGGTGGCGGTAGCATTCTGCCTTTTAGCTCTATCAACGTGGTGGTGGAAAACATGAGCTTCATCCAGTTTTCATTAAAATCAACAGGCATCTTTCCACTTTTATAGGGGGACATCAAGGGGAGTTATTTCCATTGACTTCAATAGGGTTTGGAGTAGGCCCCACATTAGCAACAAATTGTGTTAAAACACAGTTCCTGTTAGCACAGTTTCCAGAACCAATGTAAATGGAGATTGTTTTTTTCAGGGAAACATGTGATATAACCTTGCTAAAAGGATGCCTACATGTATTCAGTCACCAATGGTTGTCAGAAAAATCTCTGCCACACTGGTTAGGGAACTATGACAGACCCATGTCAGCAACAGTAAGGTCTCAATACAGTTGTAACTAGCTCAGTTTCAAACATCATGTGGTCAGAGTCCAACATACATTTTTTGGATACATTTAAATAATCTGTAGCATTTGTGATATCTGGTACTTGCTGTAACTATTTTCTTACAGTCTGATAATATTTAATACTGAATAATCTTTCTACAGAATTTTTAAACTAGCCTATATCAATGTTCAGCAAGGGTATAATTCAGGGGTTGGCAACATTCGACACGCGGCTCGCCAGGGTAAGCACCCTGGCAGGCCGGGCCAGTTTTATTTACCTACTGACGCGGCAGGTTCGGCCGATCTCGGCCCCCACTGGCCGCGGTTCGCCGTCTCGGGCCAATGGGGGCGGCAAGAAGCCGCGGCCAGCACATCACTCGCCCGCGCCGCTTCTCACTGCCCCCATTGGCCCGGGACGGCGAACAGCGGCCAGTGGGGGCCGCGATCGGCCGAACCTGCCGTGTCAGCAGGTAAATAAAACTGGCCTGGCCCGCCAGGGTCTTACCCTGGCGAGCCGCGTGCCGAACGTTGCTGACCCCGGGTATAATTCCTAATTAAATTCCATAAAATGGTTTAAATATTCCTTAGAATGGACATTCTGTGGGTTTTCAGGTTATTTTATAGAGAAATCTTTTACATTTTTTCTAGAGCCATAGTGTCACAATGGACAAAATGATTGTGTTTTTTTCAAATCATGTTAGTTCAATTGAGCTCATTTAACATGACTGAAAAACCCATTAAGATGTAGGTTAACTAGTCTGAGGCCATATTATCTGACTGTGTTGTAGCCTGGGCTATCATCCTAGGCTACAATAAGAGCTATAAATATGCCTTCGATACATTAGCCTGCATATTGACAGGGCTTTTCAATCATGTTACACTAACTCAAATGAGCTAACATGGTTGAAAAGACATCCTTTTTGTTCATCAGCCTTAATGGATTCATCCCTATTACATTCTAAAAGACTTTTTCATTAAAGTTAGGTTTCCTGGTGATTTTTTACATTCTCATTCAGCTGCAGCACCCTATGGCAACAGATTAGGAGATGAAACTTCATCAAAGTAAACTTGTTAAAAAATGGCTTTCCTAATGTAACCTTTTGGTGGGCTAGAGTTCTCTTCATTGCCCTTCTTCAGTGCCTAAGACCCCCCAACTCCTATAGAAAAGTAGCTGCAGACCCAGAATTCAGTCTCTAAGGATTTTCAGCAAGGATTGCACAGGGTCAATCTCCCCACATTCAAGTCCCAAAAGGAACTAAAGAAATGAATTTAATTAATTAACAACTTGATCAAATCTTAGAATAAAGAAACAATAATAGTAATACCAATGTGTACAACATGGCTATTTTATAATCCACTTACATTATACAGTTACACAAACATAAAAGAACGAAAACAAACTAAACCTAAACAGGCCAATCCCCACAGAAACGCAGTGAGAAGGAACTGAGAATTCCCAAAAGCTTAGGCTGAGTTCACCTGAGTCTCAGTTAGAGTTTTTGATCACCAAATCTATATAGTCTGCTGAGCCAAAAACAACATCTTCCCTCCACTTGCTTGTGGGAATCTTCCATTGGAATCCATGCAGACTCTTCCTCTGCTGAAATCACTGTTAGCCAATCAGCTAACTGATTAGCCAATCACTCAGTTAAGTGTATTGATTTAAAAAAAAGCCCACCCTGTTACAAGAAAATACAAAACCGAGAATAGCAAAATATAAATGACCCTTTCCCCATTACTAGATTCAAAGAAAAGTTGGGGATTCATACTAGTTGAGATAATATAACAAACAGTTTGGCTAAAAACAAAGTATACAATTAAAATAGAACAAATTATTTCCCCCTCTCAATTTCCCCTTGCTATAATTAGCATTGCCCATGCTTCCCTGTTAGAGGGTTAACAATACCACTAATATACTGCAAAATCCTTCAGAGTTAGGGACACCAGCCTGCTTTCTGCTCCTGGGCTCAACTTCTCCCAACTCACACAGGGCACATGGCCCTTTGTAAAGCAGTTACTCTGACTGCTTGTCCTCATGGAGTCTGACCCCAGCAACTGGGAACCTATGGGAGCATACCCAAAACTCCCACACCCAACATCCAGAAGCTTCTGGATGTGGAGTGCTAAATCTGCCTAGCAACAATGACCCAGACACAACTCACTCCTCCTCCTGACCCCCAGGGCCGGTGCGAGGAAGGTTCGCGCCCTAGGCAAAAATTCCACCTTGCGCCCCCCCCCAGCCCGGTGGCAGCTCCCCGCCCCCCCTCCACCCTGAGGCGCCCCCCCGCGGCAGCTCCCCCCCCGGCCGGGGAGCTATGTGGCAACTTCCCCCGCACCATGAGGCACCCCCCCGCGGCAGCTCCCTACCCCCTGGCCCGGGGATCCGTGCGGCAGCTCTGACCCAGGGGTTCCCCTGGGCTGCCGGCGGCGCGCTGACCTGGGGAACCCCTGGGCTGCCTGCCGGTGGCTCAGACTCCCTCTCCCTCCCAGCGCAGCGGCCGTTGTAAAAAAAAAAAAAAAAAAAAATTGGGAGCGCCGCTTTTTGGCGCCCCAAATCTTGGCGCCCTAGGCAACCACCTAGTTGGCCTAAATGGTAGCACCAGCCCTGCTGACCCCCACTGTGGCAACACATTGCTAAGAAAGAAAAAAATATAGGAGGGATAATATATTTCCACACCATTAGCTCTCTGATTATTCAATCTTCCTCTTTTTCTTTGAACAGGGCTGCTTGGAGACCTTTTAAATGCCAAAATATGGATAGGGTTATTCAGGTCATGTTTCTGGTACTGTATACAGTATACATGGCATTATATCTATTTTAGGAATTTTTTATAAAAAGCTTATTTTGGAATTCAGTTGAACAGACTATGGGAGGATAAAGCAAAGATCAAGGAACTCATAACATTTAAAAATATTAGTAGTACCTGGTATTGTATCTCTGTGGTCTTATGCGATGTCATAGTAAGTTTATTGGTGAACTAGCACAAGCAGGCACAGATTCTAGAAAAATGAGAGCAAGGACAAGGTCATTCAGGAAAGGAACAAGTCTTTTAATGCTGAAAAGCAGGGCACAGACAGCTCACCTTTCTGCTGCTGTATTGCCGTCACCTTCACACACTCTCAAACAGATCTCAGAAGTACTTCCTGAGCCAGGAGTCCTCTTTAGATTGGGGGATGGCTGTGTCACCCTGCCAGCAAAATAACTGTTTCAGCAATAAACAGATTTGTGGTGATTTTAAGTAGCAAGTGCTGATTTCTGCCCTCAGATGTGTGAGTCTCTCTGTCTCACAGAATTAGATGGAGCTATGCTTCTGCATCTGAGGGCAGATTTAAGAAACTTAATTCTGCAGAATTAAATCTATTAGACAGCATTTTCCCCCAGTTTCATTGTGTGTTCCTTCTTACTAAGATGGGAAAACTTAACAATGCAGCAGAGAAATCAGTACATTTTTAGAGCATTATTCAGCACAATGTCTGGGAAATGTGCAGAAGATATAAATCTCTAAATAATACAGAGTAGACCTATTAAAGTATAAAATAATTTCTTTTGAACTAAAAGGATTGGTATACTAATCTTCCCAGTGTGATCTTCATTTGACATATGTGGAAGCCAAGGCTAATGTGTCAGGAGACTTATGCTAATCTCTAGGGAAAATGATAAGTTGACAGTTTGATAGAAATTGCTAACTTTAGTGCAGACTATTTATTTCCCATGTCATTGTCATATATAAAACATTGGTCATAATGGATAGGATTAGGAAAGAAAAGCAATAAGCAGCAAAAGCAAGTAATTCAAACCACAGGTTTTAATCACAAGTTTTAAAGAATCTGAAAAACATCAGAGACTTTACTTTTTATATCACAACATGGTTCTAATTCCCAGTGTACAGAACTGCAGTACTTAGAAATGCATTTAATTCCAGTGTTTAGAACAGCATTGTTTCAATTTAATTTTAGGGGACTGAGAAGAGTTTATATATGTCGTACAGTCCTTCAATAAACCAGGGGTCTGATTGTTTGGGGTTTTTCCAATTAAAAAAACTGTGTGTGCTCAGTCAGTCAGTTGTGTCTCAGTGTTTTGTGTATATACTTTTCACTGTTGCAACAGTACATCTAAAAAACATAATGCAATTGTAAAGAAAATCCCATCAAGCAAAAAATATAGTATAATGTAAAATGGGGACTTTTGCAAAGAATTGTTAAAAGGTAGCACTTCTATTTTGCATACTGCTCCACAAGACACACTAGGTTTTGTTTCAGTTCAAAAAAGCATTTTATGTGGTTTCAATACTGAAATATTGTAGGAGGAAAATAAACCTCCCACCACACCTCAATTTCTTATTTTCTTAAACTTTTCAGGCCTGAATCACCACTGTGTGACTTCAGTTTTCAATGGAGTTATAATGGAGTTAAACTGACAAGAAACTGGAACAATTCAGTGGAGAACCAGGCCTATTTTCTTGAAAAGTGATTAACCTTACGCTTCATAGCACATCCTTTAAAACAATGTTACACTCCATTTTTATTCGGAAAATAACATTCTGTTTAAAAAGAGGTGCAATTTGCCAATGCCTAAATGCATTTCCAAGTTTAAGTCTCTGCACCATACATTATTGCATTTGAAACTCAGGTATATTTAATTTTTATAAAGAAGCAGTTTTCAGACTGATTAGCTGTAAGGGATTAGTTAACAAGTTTAGATAAAATGAACCCCCCAACCCCGAGCCCTGAAACGTCACCTACTATTTTCAGAAATGGATTTGAACTGAACCCATATTGAAAATCTGAATAAACGTCAGAGTAGCCAACAAATGACAAAGAGCTGGGTCTAGAAGCAGAAGTTATGGAATATTTTAGCAGTATCTGTTCTTACAAGCCATCCAATCCAACAGATCTGGAGAAAAGTGGGCCCAAACCACAAAGTTGGTTTGGTTTCAGAGTTAGGTGGCAACCATCATATTTGCAGCTGAATCTGGATTCCTTCCAGTATTCAGGTAGTGTTCAGATCAAGGGTGAAATCCTGATGCCATTGAAGTAAATGAGAATTTTGCCATTGATTTCAACAGGGGTGAAGACTTCATCCCAAGTGTTTTGATTAGAATACAATAATTTATTTATCACAACTTTTGAATGTGTTTCTAAATCAAACCCAAACTCTTTCTTGCCCTTCTATTATTCTGATTAGAGATTGTCTGGGACCATAATACTCTGGCTACCTGGCTACTAACAGAAACCACCAAACTCTGAAACTCTTGAATGGTATTGGAGAGAGACAGAATCAAGCCATGGGTCTGTATTCTATTGCTGATCCACTAAACCATCAAGCTACCAGATCACTCCAGTATTGTTTTATGGAAAAGCCCCAAAACAGAAAAGATATCTAACTTTTGAAGAATATTTATGATTTTTAGATGTGTACATTAGTCTGCTAATATATGTTCTGTCTGTTCAGATGCATTTTCACACTTATAATAGTTTTAACATTAAGGAAAATGTGGGATAATTATATAGACTTTGTTTTCACTGCCTGTATTGAAGTACCCAGTTTCTGAGCCATGATGTTTTTCTATTGGGACTTTAACCATAGATCTTCATGATGAACTATTAAAAAGTGTGACAGCAAAGAACCCCTTTCCATGAGCATGAAAATGGTTCCTTACCAAGTGAGTCTGACATGATCAAGAAATCCTGGATTATTTTGACAATAGCTGTATCTTCTTTTTCACTAATACCTGGGTTTCTGTTTATAATTATATGACTAGCAACAGTATTTATACTGACAAAATAAACAAATATAGAAATGTTAATTCTGTAAAGGTACTGGGAGGATGTTACATTTCAGACTATTTGCTTAATTTCCACTGCAGAGCTCTTTCCCTTATTTGCTAAACGCTCAGCTGCTGGTAACTTTGGAGAAATGATCAGTTATAATGATGATACTTATCCAAATGTTTTTGACAGAATTGCCACATACTGCTAAATCTCTGGGAACAGTCCCTCTTTTTTCCTCTCATTCTTATCACTTCTCTTCTAATTTTTACTTATTATTGTTTATAGCTCCACAGTGCAAAAGTCTCAACAGGGCAATTCCTACAGCCCAACATTTACAATCTAAGTAGACAAGACAAAGTGAGAGTAAGGTAGTATTATCCCCATTTCAGAGATGGAGAAATGAGGCACAGAAAGAAATAGGGTCAGAATCTCTGCTCCGCCAAATTTGCTTTGCACCTTCCTCCTTTGCCAACTGCCATCCTCCCTGGCATAAGAGTGAAAAGAGTGCATAGCAGGGACTGGCTGGGATGTGGTAGAGCTGAGCTCGACTATGTATGTCTGATCCTCTGCTGGCATGAATGCTGCTATGGAGATTACATCAAGGACTGAAGTTAGAGTAGGCCCTGTAATGATCTAACTTCTGCTGGGACTGGGCAGGCAAGAATCAGGCAGCCATAACTTGCCACCTGCAGCCACCACTTATAAATGCTGTTCAGACAGCAATTGGGGCGTAGGTGATTTACCCAACATCATAGAGAAAACCTGTATCAGAGCAGGAAACTGAACCTAGATCTTCTAAGTCACAATCCAGTACTTTAACAACAAGACCATGCTTCATGGGCACCACCATGTTTACCTTTGTTGAGCAGTCATCCAAGTGACTGGCAGATATAGGTTGCTTAATAGAGGTGCTCTATAAAAAAAGTACCAATAAATTGTACAGGAAACTTTTGGGATACTTTAAAGTAGATGCTTCTTACAAGGGCTTACCAATTGCAAGTGGTCCTTAATGCATATTTTTCTCTACTTATTTGTGGTCACAGAACAGACAAACACTTAGCTCGACCTCAAACTGATGTGAAGCAACTCTGACCCCCCACCAAACCAACTAGACAATGATGTCACCTTTTCCTCTTAATAAAGGAATTTCTTCATAGAACTTCATGGGTTTCCCAGGACAGAAGGGACCATTATGATCATCTAGTCTGACCTCTGGTATAACACAGGTCATAAAACTTCCCTGAAAAAATCCTAGAATATATATTTTTAGAAGAAACCTCCAATCTTGATTTACATTTTTTCAGTGATGGAGAATCCACCATGACCCTTAGTAAGTTGTTTCAATGGTTTATTACTCTCACTGTTTACAACTTATTTCTAGTCTGAATATGTCTAGCTTCAACTTCCAGACATTGGATTGTGTTATATCTTTGTCTGCTTGACTCAAGAGCCCATTTTTAAATATTTGTTCCCCCTGTAGGTACTGATAGACTGTAATCAAGTCACCCCTTAACCTTCTCTTTGTTAAACTGAATAAACTGAGCTCTTTGGTTCTATCACTACATGACTGATTTGCTAATCCTTTAATCATTCTTGTGGCTCTTCTCTGTACTCTCTCCAATTTATCAATGTCCTTTTTGAACTGTGGACACCAGAAGTGGAAACAGTATTCCAGTAGTGGTCACACGAGTACTAAACACAAAGACAAAACAACCTCTTCACTCCTACTCAAAATTCCTCTGTTTATGCATCCAATGATCACATTAGCCTTTTCAACCATAATACCATACTGGGAGCTCATTTTCAGCTGATTATCCATCATAACCCCCAAATCTTTTTCAGAGTTACTGTTTCCCAGGTTAGAGTCCAGCATCCTGTAAGTATGGCTTACATTCTTTGTTCCTAGATGTCCACATTTACGTTTAGCTGTATTAAAATGCATATTGTTTGCTTGTGCCCAGCTTGCCAAGTGATCCAGATCACTAACTATGATCTGGCCTCTTCATTATTTACCACTCTTCTAATTTTTATGTCATCTGCAAACTTTATCGGTGATGATTTTATGTTTTCTTCCAAGTAATTGATAAAGATGTTAAGTAGTGTTAGACCGAGAACCAATCTCTGCAGGAACCACTAGGAGCACACCCTCTTGATGATGATTCCGCATTTGCGATTACATTTTGAGACCTATCAGTTAGTCAGTTTTTAATCTATTTAATACGTACCACATTATTTTTATATCCCTTTAGTTTTTTAATCAAAATATCATGTGGTATGAAGTCAAATGGCTTACAAAGGTCTAAGTATATTATGGAGGTAATAATTCTATTACCTTTATCACAGAAGACTAAGTGAAATAACAAATTGTAGCTGTAGAATTGTCGAAAAAGTATGTTGAAAAATTGTACAGGATTCAGAAAAGAACTACAAGAATGATTTGAGGTCTGGAAAACATATCTTACTATGAGAGACTTAAGAAGTTCAATCAATATACCTTATTGAAGAGAAACTTAGACAGTGGCTTGAGGGTTATGATCTATAACTATCTACACATGGAGGATATATCTGATACTACAGCACTATTTAATCTAGCAGGTTACTCTTGTATTATTATACCATATGGGGGGGGGGCAGAATCTGACTTATAATGTATTAAAATAGAACTTGATAAGGGGCTGATTTAAATTAAATGGCTGAAAACTTAAGCTAGAAAAAATTCAACCTGTGAATAAGATGCAACATTTTAAACTATGACTTTAATTAACCATTGGAATAGTTTACCAAGGGATGTGGTATATTCTCCATCATTTGAAATCTTTAGTTTAAGATTAGATGCCTTCCTAAAAATATGCTCTAACTCAATCAAAAATTATTGAGCTTAATGAAAGAATTAATATGAAATTCTATGAAATTTCATGACCTGTGTTATGCAAGAAGTCAGATTAGGTGATCACAGTGATCCCTGCTGGCCTTAAAAAAGTCTATGAATCATCTACATCTAACTATTATTTTTATTATTTTAAAAAATGTATACATTTCATGGAACTGGGAGAATAAATTATTTTCTCTAACTTATTTTAAAGCAGAAGGCTTTTAATCTCTGCAGCAAGTACAGAGAAAAACCGGAAACTGTTGCAGTTTCACAGTTTCCCAAGCTTTTTAATGTGCTTTTTTCATTGACTAAACTGCAAATTTTGGAACAATATGAGAAAACTATACAAGAATTATTTGAGAGAGAGAGAGAGAGAGAGAGAGATGAGAAAAGTAAAGCTTTAAAAAGCATATAAAGTACTCATGACTCTGAAGGTGAAAGAGAAAACAATGAAAACTTGAACCAGAATTTGAGTGACATAGACTGGAATTGCAGTTGGACTTATTATTTTTTCAAGCTGTTCAATTGCAGCATCAATTAAGGGAGCTCAAAGGAAAATTGTGTGTAGTGCTATGTGACTCCTGTCAAATGACATTCTAGGGATTCAAATAATTACTCTTTTTGGAGTCAGCTAGATATAACAGAGATCTCCTTTTCATAGAAAGGAGTAAATTCTGGTGACTTTCTTTTAGGTGCTCTGCAGGGAAGGGGATGCAGGAAACCTCTTATCTTCTTACACAAGAATCAGGCAGAATATACTTAGGTATTATTGTGACAGAGGCCTCAACATATATAGACAGAACACAGCCCCTAGTGCTCGTGGACCAATGTGGATAGGAGATGGAGGGGTGGAGCTAGTAAGCACTTCTGGCAATATACCACAATCATAGGGTGATGGCCAGATTCCCACCCTCTGCTTCAGTAGCAGACTAATGCGGGCAGTCTGCCCACTCATTTCTAAAGCAGCAGCAGTAGCGAGCACCACTGACTCTACTTCTTCCAGGATTCCCTGAGCAATTCTCTCTGTGCCTGCTCTACACAAGCAGAATAGCTGGAGAACCCATCACTTGGCTGCTCTTTCAGGGGATATGAAGCAAGCACTGGCCTATAGTATATAATGGTAGCTCTCACTGATCAGTTCTGGTTTATGTTGAAGGACTGTAAGTAAATTAACATCGTGTTGCTATTAAATTGGATGTACTGCATGTTCTTGGTGGTGGTGGAGTTACCCTTGGTTGAAATCTATAGGAGTGTGCCCAAGGGAGACTGTAGGATCAGGTTTCTATATTGGGATATAACCTTTGTTTTGTTAATAGCTGAATGAAGATGGTTCCTGCAATCTGGGGTACAATATCAACAGATTTCAGAGTAGCAGCCGTGTTAGTCTGTATTCGCAAAAATAACAGGAGTACTTGTGGCACCTTAGAGACTAACAAATTTATTAGAGCATAAGCTTTCGTGGACTACAGCCCACTTCTTCGGATGCATATAAAATGACAGTCATTTAAGAGAAAAGTAGTTACAATTTATGGCTATTTAGATATCCATTTTCAGACATGCAGAAAAGGGTCCTTCAAGAGAAGCTGGGATTTCCAAGACATTGTATTAGTTATTAATAATAAATACACCACTACCCCAATATAACGCGACCTGATATAACACGAATTCGGATATAACGCGGTAAAGCAGCGCTTCGGGGGGGTGGGGGGGGCAAGGCTGTGCACTCCGGCGGATCAAAGCAAGTTCGATATAAGCCGTTTCACCTATAATGCAGTAAGATTTTTTGGCTCCCGAGGACAGCGTTATATTGGGGTAGAGGTGTAATAATAATTATACAGGCATAATTAACTACAGAGACCTGACATGCAGAAATATGTTTCTTTTTTTAGAATGATATGAATAATTTTGCATAATTTTAAAGTGTATTTTCTGTGAAAAGTTGCAAGAGTTTATACTTAGGAGTCACGTATTTTAAAAAAATTTATATCCTTCTTCATGGTGAATCATACCTTATTCCACGAGTAGGTTTTATTGCAATCAGTGAGAATACTTGTGGAGCAAGCTACTACTCAGTGTGAATAAAGGTACTGTATAGCACTCTGCCCCCCAGAAAAAGAACTTTCCTTTTCCTTTTTTCAAATGAAGTGTTAAAACCCTAAAACAGACCTTTTGGCCCTGAAATAACATTCTGTGCTATACTGCATTATCTTTCTTTAGTGTAGTAGACAGCAGCAGCTAAGACAAAGTCATTTCTGAAACAACAACTCCCGGAGTTTGGCATTTCAAAAGGAAACAGCTTTTATTTTAAAATAAGAACTACTATACTATAAATGAACTTTATAGGACTTTAAATTTCAGGCAGGGTTTGGGAAAGCTGATGCCATATTAATATAGCAATGTCATTCTGGTGGTATATCAACATGACACTGAGCACTAGGAATACAATCTTCAGCCTAAATCTCAGTGGCTTTTATTGCAAAACAATACATTTTTAATTAAAAAGGAGTCTTTAGAAAGATTAAGCAAGGAGACGCAGGGTTCTGAAGTCTCTCAAATGAATTGATTTGAGTTTTAGTGCAAATAGTCATGCATTCCACACAGTGTAGACAGGAGGAACCAACTTGGTTTTCATAATCCCTCAGATTGTGTACACTATTTTATTATTTATATTTAGATACTTTAAAATGTATTGCTTGCATGCTGTAGAATTTTTATACCTCTCCATAAGCTTGGAGTGGCCTTCTGATTAATATAAATCAGGCTCCCTCAGGTTCCTCCTTCTCATAATTCCTAGTCACACCAAGTCCATGAACTACTTTGGCCTTAAGATCACCCAGCATTCTGTGTTACTCACTGAAGTGTATTTAAATTGTAAACAAAGGGACTCTGTGTGTTACAACGCATGGGCTAACTTTCAGGATAACACCTGCTATAAATGATGTTAAACACACCTTCCACAAATGATGATTCATATCAGCAATCATCAGCTCGGGATGTACGGTTATGAAGAAAGTCCATAGCTTTGTGGTTTCAAAAGGCCCTCCATGAGAATGTACACTTTATTTAATATTCAGGTAAATGTATCTTAGTTAATGTACTGGCACTTTACCTTCTCCAGAGTGTAGACTTTTGGGGATCGGGTCTGTCTTTGCAGTGTCCCCATACGCTTAGAAGCAATCTTCTTGGAGGTCCCTGTATGTTTAAGGAGCACTCAGGGGACAAGCCTGTCAGTCACAAAGACACAACATTTGTGGTTACTGTGTGGCCACTCAGATGAGCTGGAGCCTGCTCAGGCTTCCAGAAATATCTAGTTCCCATACCCTTTCTCAGATGCTTAGCATATGGCCAGATCATATCCTCACCTAGTAAAAGCCTTTCGAAGGTCACCCTCATAGCATTTCATAGCTGGTGAGGAGGAAACCTAGGATTTAATTTAAAAGGCCATGAAGTTCACTTTCAAATCTAGTACATCTGCTGGGAGCCACACAGATCCTAGAGGATACACAGGAAGCCAAGGTATCTATGTGGAGGCTCATGTCTCCACATAAGTTCTGGCTCCTGGCAGGATTCCCCACGCCTGACTCCCTAGCAGTGGAGCTCCCTGACTTGATAAGTGTAATTTTTAAAATCTAATTTCTAGCCTTCATACTCACTAGGGCACATTTTAAATTTGCTTTCTGTGAACATTCTGTGATACTCTTTTAAAATGTGGCCTTTGGGCAAACATTCCTGCCTGTAGGCTCATTAGGCTAGACTACTGAAGGAAAGTGAATACAAAAGAGGTGCAAATACCGTCAAAGCTCATTCCAATGAACAGTAATGGACATTTTTTTGCATTATATACCCAACTCTAGGGTGGACGCTTAGGCCTGGCTGTGATTAGTGTTATCATTTCCCTCTGTAATGCACAGTAAAACATGAATGTATGTGAATTTCTCCCAAACCTTCCTACACTGGCCCCAGTTCCTAGAATCTAGAAGGCAAGCTTAGGTAATGTGGGTTCCACTGGACACTCCCTTCCTTCCTTCTGGCTTAATGAGACAGAGCTTAAGCACCAAACTTTACTTTTTCTTCCTCTGTTAGTTATTCTCTCTCTCTCTGATGGTGCATGTGATCAGAGGACGGTAATTGGTAAGACCAGCTGAGAACACTGAGATTACACTCTTGGGTATATGATCATACCAGGTGTGTTACCTTTGTTACCAGCAGTTTTGAAAAAATTAAGATCCATCCATCAACAATTAAAAAACAGCATTGCCTAATGCCTTATTTGATTTCCAACCTTAGTACAATATACAACAGGCCTGCACCTTGGGATGCATACATAATGGGCATAGAACATCACACAGCATCAAATTTTCCATCTTTATGTACTGTACTGTCGTGGAAAAAGTCAGCCACGCATTGATTTTAGTTCACAGACTCAAGCCTGAGGCCAGTTTATTGCAATACATACCAACGCGTTGGGGGTTGCAGTCAGAAACTACACCCCTGAACAGAGCTCACAGGCTCCTCTTTATTCTTACAAGCCGCAAACATATTACAAGTTACACGTCATTTACGAAAAATAAAGAGTAAGGGTTTGCTTCCTTTCCCGGCACTTTTTTATTATTTTCCGAGAATTGGGTGCATATTAGGTGGAGGGCTTTTGGTGGTTTCCGCTATGGGCAGTACTTGGCACCAGTTAGGGTGAATTTTCGGCAGGTTGCATGCTAGTATGGCTGGGGAGAGGACACAGAGCACCCAAAAGAGAGACGTGATTGGCTAGTTTTGCATTTAGCTGGAATTACAGAGTGCTCACAGGAGAAGTTTGCATTTAGCTTGAAATTCGGGGGGGGGGGTGTTACAGAGCACCCAAAGGAGAGGCGTGATTGGTCAGTTTGCATCTAGCTAAAGTTACTTATTGCTTCACACAAGTGATTATTATATTTCAACAGCCATGAACATATTTCATTAGTGCTGCTTCTGGGGCTTTTTATTCTTTCCTTCCTTGGCCCCCCTCCCTCCTCTGGTCATGACCCTTGACCGAGTTTGGCAGGAGGCTGTGTCACTTAGCCTAGTTCAGGCTTGTGGCCTGCAGGGCGGGCCTATATGATGAGTCTTCGCCGATGTTCTGATCGGTGCAAGGGAGGCCAGCCAGGCCTATTCCCCCACAGTACCTTGGTAATCAATGCCTTTGGCTATTGTATTCTCTCTCTCTCTCTCCCTGGTTTAATGGGATAACATGATTTTAGTTAAATGAACAGCGTGCCATCGCTGGTAAATAGTATCAATGACCAATGAGGGTCTGGCTGGAGAATCTTGCCTACATGCTCGGGGTTCTACTGATCTCCATATTTGGGGTCGGAAAGGAATTTTCCTCCAGGGTAGATTGGCAGAGGCCCTGGAGGTTTTTCGCCTTCCTCCGCAGCATGGGCCAGGGGTCGCTAGCTGGAGGATTCTCTGCTACTTGAAGTCTCTAAACCACAGGATTTGGGGACTTCAACAGCAGAGTCAAGGGAAAGGGGTTGGGACGGCTTTGTGGCCTGCATCATGCGGGAGGTCAGACTAGATGATCATAATGGTCCCTTCTGACCTTAAAGTCTATGAGTCTATGAGTCCCTCCCTCCTCCCACCCCCGCTTTCTGGGAACTCATTATCCCACTTACTTCAATTGTAGTATTTGGTTAGGGTACTGGAAAATGGAAGAGTAAGGACATCTGAATGAGGCAAAACTTCTGTTGATTTTAATGCAGATGTTTTCTGAGTGAAGTCTGTAGGACTTGGCTTCCAATTTATATATGTTAATGGAGGAGGTTTTGGAACAAATTGGTAAATTAAACAGTAATAAGCCACCAGGACCAGATGTTATTCACCCAAGAGTTCTGAAGGAACTCAAATATGAAATTGTAGAACTACTATCGCTTAAATAAGCCTCTGTATCAGATGACTGGAGAATAGCTAATGTAACCTGGTAATTACAGGCTGGTAAACCTAACTTCAGTACCATGGAAATTGGTTGAAACTAAAGTAAAGAACAGAATTATCAGACACATACATAAACGTGATATTTTGGGGAAGAGTCAACATGGCTTTTGAAAATGAAAATCATGCCTCACCAATCTATTAAAAATTCTGAGGATGTCAACAAGCACATAGACAAGAGTGATAAAGTTGATCTAGTGTACCTGGACTTTCAGAAAGCCTTTTGCAAGATCCCACACTAAAGGCTCTTAAGCAAAATAAGCAGTCATGGGTTAAGATCTTCTCCTGGATCAGTAACTGTTTAAAAGATAGGAAACAAAGGGTAGGAATAAATGGCCAATTTTCACTATGGAAGGCGGTAAATAGCAGGGTCCCTGTAGCGGGGTAGTCACCCCGCTCCGGCCCTGAAGGGGTTAAAGCAGCCCTGGAGAGGGCTGTGGCTGGAAAAAGCTAGTCTGATTGGGGAAAGCAGCCGCAGCTGGGGCCACGCACCAATCAGGCCACAGCTGGCCCTATAAGAGGACTGAGGGCCAGAGGCTGAGACATTCTCTCTCTAGCTTCTTGAGAGAGAAGGACCTGGCTACCTGGGAGCTGACAAGGGTACCTAGGTTGGAGAAGTGCTGGGGAAGGGCAGAGGGAGCTGGGGAGCTCCAGCGTAACAAAGTCCCAGGCTGCAGGCCAAGTTAAGGGCCCACGAAAGGGTACTAGGGCTGTGGAGGGGCAGCCCAGGAATAGGCAGAGGCAGCTGGTCCAACCCCCCTTGCCGATGATGAGTGGTTTACAGACCCAGTGAGCGAGGGCTAGATGGAGACTGGCAGTAGCCACTGAGGCAAGGTGGGGATAGAGGGTTGGGGGTTTCCCTGGGGGGGGCGAGCCAGGTCGTGGGTTA